CCTCTTGCTGGAAACACTCAATATGATACTTTCTGAAGAACTGATTTTTATCAGACATCCTTTAGAAATTATTTTGGCAGCAGGTTTTGCTGACTGGCTCATTCTGGCTTCTCTGTCCCACATCTTCAGGGGCCTGTGGGAAGGGGGGTGGGTGGGTGGGAAGATGGCAGCTGCCCAGGCAGTACATGGCCTTGAAACTACCAAGGCAGTTGTCTGCTTAGCGCTGAATCCCTGGAGCCAGCAGTCCTGGGGTTGGTGCCCCCTAGTGGTCTGACCAAATACAAGTCATCTTGACAAAAAGGACGGGAGTGGAAGGCCCAGCCCCACCTCTGAGTTTTCGGCTGCCTACCCAGAATCCTCCTTCTGCGAATTAGGGGGAAAAAAATTAAGACTCCAGCAAGCAGGAGCTCTTAGAGAATGAGAGATGAGCCGGTGGAGGCAGAGGCTGTGGAAGGCAGATGAAGCTGTTTGTTTGGAATTCCTCCCTAGATGGGTTAGGCTGGGGACGGCCAGACACCGAAATTCCAAGGATGCTTGGCAGCCAAAGTCTTAGAAACAAAGCAGAAAACCAAGCCTAAGTCTAAGCGGAGGCAGAAGAGAGGAACAAAGAGAAGAAGCAAGGCGACACAATCCTCCGATCTTCTCGGCCCTGCACTAGCCGCCGTGGGCTGCCCCTCCCCACAGCTCCTGGCTCCGCGCCTTGTGTATCATTTGTTTTCTGCTGCATTCAAGTTGGCTCAGGAGGGAGTCAGGCCGGGGTTTTCCTGAGTCATGCGCAAGGGCGTGAGCCTGGAGCCATGAGCTGCTGAGTTGGCTGTTTGTTCCTCATCGGCCATACTCCTTGTCTTCTCGAAAGGGGACGGCTTTCTCCTTTCCTTACAAGGCCGAGAGAGGCAGGAAGCGGCCACGTGTCCCCCTTTTCTCTGAGGCACGACTCCCTCGGTTGTTCCGATGTGAGAGTTATGCACGTAGATGAACTTCAGAGCCAGTGAGCGGGGAAACCAGAGTTTTAGGCCCCAGACCTAACTTCCAGGAGATCCCTGACAGGTAGCGCTTGACCCATAGGCTAAGAGATGAGGAAGGTCATCGGCAACAGCAGCCACAGGAAGAAAGCACTTCAGGTGTGGTACGGACAGGAGCTTTAGGTTAAATAGAGAGCTGGGGATGGCCTGCCATTGTGGAAGGGTTTTGGAGCAACTGCTCACGCGGTCATCAGTGAGGCCAACAAGCTGAGTCAGAATAAACAAGGTATTTGTTCATGGTTGGGTGGTCTGTCCTGAGAGTAGTTCTGCGGTTTCTTTCTGTCTTTCCTTCTGGGCCTTCCTGGAACGGGTTCAAGGCAACTGTAAAGTAAATGGTTGAGAGCAAGAACGCAGACAGAGACAATGGAGTTGGGAGGCATGCTTGCTCCGGGTTTCCAGTTCATGCATGGCATGAAGTAAGGAGCCAGCGCTTTCCAGCTAGAGCAGGAGGAGCAGCTGCTAGAGAGGGCCGGCGGGCGATGGGCTAAGGCACTGGCTTCCCAGCGCTCCTGCTTTTCCTTCCGCCAATATGGAAGCTTCACGTTGATCTGTCCTGGGGCCTCTGGGTCTTCTCTCGGTCTCCTCAGCTTTCCTCTACCCAGGCGCCTGGCATTCATCTCCAGCATGTCTCCCACGCGGTCTCCCAAGCCCCCCCAGCTTCACCTCCTGTTGCTGTGGACATTTCCACAGTCCTTTCCCTTTTCCTGGACAGCACAGATACTCGTTTGGGCTCTGAGTGGCTCGTCCACTGCCCCAACCCCACCCCAGCTCTTCTCTGGCCTTGGAGACCCTCCGAGGATCTCTGTGCAGCGAGATCACCCGTGAGCGGATGTGCGTGCTGTGTGAGCTCCGGTTGTGATGCCATGCGTGCAATCACGGATCCTGGAGGAGGCCCGGAAGTCAGTGTCCCATCATCTCAGACGGTGGCTGGAGGCTGGTGGGCTCCCTGAGAAGTGCCAGGGACCGCACGATGCCTTCTGTGGGCAGCTGGGGAGGGGAGGGGTGAGCCGCAGGAACCCTGGCCATGTGTGGCCAAGGATGGCTCTCTTCCCTGGCGCTGGCTGTCCTGTCTCTTGCTACCCAGCCCCCGCAAGCCATGCCCCAGCTGTGAACATGGTCTGCAGAGACAAGGGGTTCATGACTGCCACTCTGCTGTAAAGCATTCAACCCTCATACAGTTCAGTTTAGAAACGCTAGTGATTCCATAAAAAAGAGTCAAACCAGCAAAAAACCATGCCTCTCGCCGTCGGTCCCCAGGGGGCGCTGTGCTTTGTGGGTGAAGCATCTGGGCTGTATTTTTGGTGTGTGCAGAGGCGTGTGTGTGTATGTGTGTGTGTGTGTGCGTGTGCACACGTGCGTGTGCCAGGAGCGGTGAGGAAGAGGACTGCTCCTTGGCCTCACCAGCCTCTGGGTTCTGCTTCACCTCATCCCCTTTGAATCCTGCGTAAACTTAAGATGACTCTGGTTGAGACCTTCTATCACTGTCCAAAGCTATTTCGAAGCTGTTCAAACACCAGTTCCATTCTTCTGGGGACTCTGTGCAGCCCCAGAAACCACAGCGGCTGTTTGGAGGCCCCGCTGCAATGGGAGTGGTCTCGGGCACACGCCAGGGTGCGTGCACTGGAGGAGGGGTCTCTCTGCGCCCGCCCAGGGCTGAAGCGTGTGGGCTGGGGCGAGGATGGACAGGTGAACGGCACACCTCTCCTTGGAGGTCCACTTGGAGGCGGGGGGTGGGGGTGGGGGACTTGGTAGGTGGTGATATGGATCCTGGGTGCTGGGTTTGAGTCTAGCGTACTTGTGTGGAAGGGGCAGAACCATAGCCGGGCACCAGTGGCTTATGCCTGTAATCCCAGCTACTCAAGAGGCTGAGATCTGAGGATCATGGTTCAAAGCCAGCCCGGGCAGGAAAGTCTATGAGACTCATTTTCAATTAATCACCAGAAAACTGGAAGTGGCGCCTTGGCTCAAGTGGTAGAATGCTCTTCAGCTTGAGCTGAAGAGCTGAGGGACAGCGCCCAGGCTCAGAGTTCAAGTCCCACAACTGACAAAATAGAACCAACAACCCAACAACTACCACCACCACCAATGACAACAAAAACTGGGCAGAACTAATAATGGAGTGCGCAGGAAGCACTACTGGCCTGAACATCTTCAATCTACCCTCTTACTGAACTTTAGCCTTCACTGCGTCAAGAACAGGAAAGACAGAGAACCAGGAGGCGCCCCGGCTCCCAGCACCTTGCGCCCGGCTCCCAGCACCTTGCGTCCTGGCTCCCAGCACCTTGCGCCCGGCTCCCAGCACCTTGCGCCCCGGCTCCCAGCACCTTGCGCCCCGGCTCCCAGCACCTTGCGC